CGCGGGATATTTTGGAAAACCGTGGTTTGCCCATCACTACCCATATCTAAATCTTTTATCCTCAATTATTTGATGACTAGGAAAATAGCAATTGAAATCGCCTTTTTTTCTTTCGTATAACAGTAAGTCATTATTCCTAGTTATTATTCCTATGTCATATAGAAAAAAAGGAAAAATTGTCTTAATGATTTATAAAAAATTCTGGCACAGTATATATGTAAAATAACAAATAACAAATTTTTACCACTGATAGGTAATCTTTCAATATTATGAAGCAAAAATTCAATACTGGTAATTAGATTGATAATTTGATAGTTCCATGTACTTCACCCCATTATTACTATAAACCTCAGGATTACTTTCTTCAGTCTCCCTGATTTCTTCAGTTCTCCCGATTTCCTCAGTTCGCCAATTTTTTAATTTCTCTGATTTCTTCAGTCTTCCCAATTTCTCAACCTCCCCAGCTACAGCCCAATCGGGAATATTATCTGATCGAGAAACTGATAATCATATAAAGGTCGACGTGGACGTTTATGGTGAGGTTCCATAACCAAATCGAGAACGTTATGCGAAAGTTTCGATAACTAATATAACCTGTAATCTTCTAAATCAATAAGAAGTACTAAAAGAAATGGAATATATAATGTATAGATTTAATTTAATTTAGCTTCAATCATTTCATGACAAATAAATAGTATTATTATAGCTATATTTACTAGTTATACAACTGTAGAACGATATATTCGTCAATATTCTATCATCATCATTTATCATATGAAATTAAAATAATTTCCAGGAACTTCTTCAAAATATATTTTATTATTGACACTATTCATTCCAATTGTACTGGAATATACAAAAATAAATTATTCTGAAGAAGAGAAAATCATTTTTTTTAAATATATTTCGCGATTTAGTTCATTTGACAACCTTTAAATGAAAAAATAATTAGTATAGAGTTAATACCTAAATCCGAATTTTATGATTAAACTCGGATTTAACCACTATATCCGGATTTAACCACTATATCCGGATTTAATCAATAAATCAGAATTTAACTACTATATCCTGATTTAATCATTAAATCAAGATTTAACCACTATAATCCGAACCACTATATCCAGATTTAATACCTTTGTCCACTCACGAATTCAGATTTAAAATTAGGGATGATACGCCTCCTAAGTTGTTATGATTATTAAATCTGAATTTAATGATTAAATCCAGATTTATGATTAAATTCGAATATATTGATTAAATCCGGATTCTATAAATCAGTGTATGATGAAACTGTAGCAAAATTAAAACGTTTTTCTAACACTTAAGATGAAGCTTTTATACCATTACTTAAGTAATTCAGTTGTTACACAAACGCGTTATTTTGTTACATGCCTGTGATAATCATATTACACAAACACGTAAGGTAACCTTTGTATCACTTTAACTAATAAGTTTATGTTCTTGCTATGCTTCAGATAAATAATATCGAGAAACAACAATGTAGGGATGTTAAGTAGTTAGGAAATAATTATATTGACTCAATTCAGGACTAAAATTGTTATTGTGTGAATTAAACCCACCTGTACTACTTTGTTTATCGTGTCATTGCATGCATGGATGTTAATTCCGGCCAACATCAAAAATTAAATGATAATTCTGGTCAAAACATGCACGCGCATGTTCTCTTTTTTATTCTTTTTTATATTAAGAGTTTCTTATATCAGTAAAGTTTCTTAAATTGATAGTCACTTGTAATAACTATAAATAAGGTTTTATTTTATAGTATTTATTATTGTAATTGTATCTAGAGTAATTTTTTAAGTTATTTATAATTAACCTATTATGTGACAACTTTTTTAAACAATTTTTATCTTAAAAATTATTACTTTTAAGTAATAACTAATTTTTTTAAGGCATAGATTATTTTAAAAATATTTTTTTATTCGAAAAATTATTGCAAATAAGTATTTAAATATTTTTAAGTGCAAAAAATATCAGGACAAAAAAAAATAACCAATTCTACCGACACAACAACACGTGACTTATCAGCCTTATCGACACAGCAACAATTTATATGATTATCTAAACATTTTATTAAGTAAATATGATTTCTGCCTCTAATTAAAGTTGTAGAGATCATTTTTCCGATTATAACATTACCAAAATTATCTCAGTGAATCGTGAGATATAAGCATTTTGATCTTTACGATTATGTAATCAGTCTTTAAATCTGAATATGATTGCAAAGATAAAAATACTCATATCTCGCGATCCACCGAACTAATTTTAGCGATTTTGATTTCATTAGAATCGGAATTGTTGCCTCTACAACTTTAATTAGAGATATATGAAAGACTTAGTAAAATATCCTAGAAATTCCGCATTATTTAAGCATTAAAAATACAATTTTCAAAATATTTTAATTAAGTAAATCTTCCTTATATCTTTAATTAAAGTTGTAGAGGCCATTATTACGATCCAAATTTTGTAAAAATTGCTAAAATTGGTTCAGTATATCGAGAGATACGAGTATTTTTATCTTTGAAATCATAAAAAAATTTAGCCAAATTGCATAATTGCAAAATTTTAAACACTTATATCTCGCGATCCACTGAGACAATTTAACATAGTTAGAATCAAAAAATGACCTCTACAACTTTTATTAGAGGTAGAATTCACATTTACTTAATAAAATATTTGATATTAACTAGCTCCTGATCTGAATATTTCACATAAATTGTTGCTGTGTCGATAAGGCGATAAGTCACGTGTAGTTATTTTCTTTTTAATAATTTCTAATTTTTGTTAATAATTACAATATATAATTTTTCTGGTATACTTAATATAAATCGAGTAATTAGCTATTCTTATAATTTTTAAATAAAAATAATTAGTACGAATACACAGAGGTTTGCACAAATACTTTACAATTTTGCAATAGGCGTCGTCAAGATCTAGTATTAATTATTAATATCATAGGTCATTAAAAGAAAATTTTCATAGTAAATCACAAATTTAGTTTTCTTACTAGAACTAATAAATGATTCGTTAAATTAATAATTGTTTTTTGTATTTCAAGAAAACTAGATTTGCAACTTACTAAGAAAATTTCCTGTTTAGTGACTTATACTGTAATATTAATAATTCATTCTTACTATAATTTTACTAATAATTATATAGTGATGCTCAATTGTTACGATAATAAAGACCTCAATCAATGCTTGATCAGCTTTTATAAATTTTATATGTTTATTAAATTCCATTGTCATTGTCATCGAAACTAATAAGGAACATCAATTTTGTCAGGGTTGCTTTGAAGGTATGAATTTTTTTTTAAAAAAAAAATCGAAATGAAATAAGTTGACTAAGTTTAAATTGACTACTATCAAACCCTATTGGTAAGTAGATTTGTATAATTATATAACATTAAATTAAATTACTATATCAGATATTTTTATTCAATTTATAAAGCATATTTTAAAGTATGATATCGTCATCCCATAAAATTTAAACTTTATCAGCGCGTAATGACAATTAAAAATATAATAAATATACGTCATCTTATATACTGTATATAAATATATATATATATAAAAAACACAAATAATTCTTAAAAAGCATTAATTCTGAAATTAAAGTAAACACAACATTAACAATGAAAGATCACCAAGAAACTAGTAATGAGGAAAACAAGGTCGTTAGTGCACATGATAAATCAAGTAAATCTCAAGAATCTATTCTTACCTACCAACAAAGTTCATTACAATTACAATTACGTTCCTTTTAATGAATTAAATGATTAAATCTTATTTCTTTTTCATTTTCGTTTCGGACAATTATTTCAAGAAACTTTAATACATAAAACCATTTTACCTTCTCAGTGTAAACATAATTTCTACAACATAATACATGCTCAATTACGTCAAATAACTATTTGTGGATATAGAATTCGACATACATTAAATACAAATCAAATAAATCAAATGGCATTAATTTTCAATCCGAATGTACCAGATCATATTTCTATTTGTTTTAATAAGATGAAATATGAAGTTATTATTCCATATGAAGAAATTAGTAAAATTGAACCTTTAAATTTTGGAAAATTGGTCTTAAAATTTCGACATCGTTTCGAAAGAAAGGTACGTATAAAAAAATATATATATATTTTTTTTTACATTTCTAATATATATAATTTTTTATAAAATTTCATACTTTATTTATTTTTGATAGTATTATTTTCGTGAAATAAATCATCCATGGATGTTAAAACGCGTTTTGTTATATAATGATCCAACGGATGGCTATTTCGACGAAGCAACTTCACTTTGCTTAAAACCGTTAAATTCCGTGGATTATTTCTATACCGAAAGTGTGAAACATGAGATCAGCAAATATAATAAAATGAAATGGAATAAATTATCGGTATAATTTAAAATTCGTTTATTTGTTATATCTTTAAAAAAAATTTTTTTATTAACTTCATTATAATATAATTTTAAACTTTCGATTTATACTTTTTAATAATCAAATCAATAGAAAAAACAAATTGCCATATTTCAGAAATTTCAACAATCACCCGAAGTAATGATTAAACAATTTGGTCCTAAAGATGGTAATTGTACTCAAGTCACTAAACAATTAAATAATATTATAACGACACCCTCTGAACTAACATTAACTGAGGTAACTTCTTTATTTATTTTCTTAAATGATAATTTTATTTATGATACGTATAAGTTATATATTAATTATTATCATTTTCACAATAAAGGTATATGTCACATGTATCTTTGCAACCGAAAAGCGAGCCATTTTTTACCCCGTTAAAGGAACATTCTACCACTTCCGATTGTACATATTGAAAAGATTTAATAATAAACGATGGAATAAAACATGGTTTAGAAATAGGCGTGGTTGTTGGGGTAAATTGAAAGATGAAGATGATTGGAATTTGGCAAAATCCGAAAGTCAATGTGGAAAAATGGAAAGAGTAATTGTATATTTAAAATAATAAAAAACTTTATTCTTCATGTAATGACTTGTATAATAGATTTGATTGGTAGTTTTTGCTTAATATATATATAGGATCTACTTTATGCTTTTGTTGCTATTCAGAATATAATGTTCTTTTTCGCCACTTTTACATATTGATCATTGTTTAACTTTGACTAGCATGATATTGTACATTTATAATCAGTTATAAAGATAATCAATAATCGATCAAAGATTATTTGTTTACTTATGATTTTATATTAATACATGTTAAATTAAATATGCACCAATTTCTCTGTATTGCAATATCACATTTACATGTTTATAATTTAATAAAAATACACACCAAACGCCATGATCACGCATATAATTGAATCCTGCAAGTTTTTTTTTTTATTAAAAATGTCGTCCAAAAAATTTTTACATATATAATACAAAAAAGAAAAATACATACATTTTGAAAAGTCACATATGCAACATTATCAGTATCCATATCCCAAGAACAAGATAATTGGATCCTATTAATGAAAAAAATAAAATACAAAAACAAAAAAAAATTCATATATATAATTTATTACAAAATAAAAATTATTAACCATAATATCAAATCATGTTATAATTTTTATGCGAGCAAAGTCTAGGCTAAAATTTTTAAATATTTTAACATGCATATAATCACGCATACAAGCACATGATTTCATTGATTTTAATCACACCATCGAAACAATTCAACTACCAACAAAATGTCATTGCGTATTTTATTTGAATTAGCTAACCTAGTTCCGGCCGATTTATTTTCCATTATCGTTACGTTTACGACATATTTGTATTGCTTAAGTTCTAAATCTACATTATACCAAAATTATTAAAATTAGATTTAATACAAAAAAGTATTCCTAAAATAGATTAATAATTATTAATTGTTTTTACATAATTTACCTAACAATTGTTTTTTAATTTCTTGAGAAATTTCGTGAGCCCAACCTGGGGCTTGATCTTTGTCATATAATGCATTATTTAATCGTTGGGAAGCGATCGAATGAATAATATTTTTTGCAACCGGTGCTCTAAATCTATTTATAAAAAAATTAATTTTGAAATATAAATTAATATAATTTTTCATAATAATTTTAAATCATATAAAATAAATTCAAATTTACTTTTGTTTAAAACTAGGCCTTAACGAGAAATTTGAATCAGTGGAATCACGTCTTTCATAAGCAGCACCAAGTTGTAAAGAACTATCAAGCAAACTTTCGATTCCTGGACCATCTTTAGTTTGTCTGCTAAAATCATTACTATGTGAAAGACTTAATAGACTATCTGTTGATGTCATGGTTGTTGTCATTGTTGAAAGATTAACTGGAGTACTTTCAATTTCCATTGCTGTAATATAATTAATTTTAAAATATTTTAAAATTTTTGAATCGGTACTGATGAATTTTTTCGTCAGTATTTATATAAACTAAAAATCATATATAAAGTAATGATACGTCGATCAATCAGATGTTAAAATATCTAATTTTTGAACAATTAAAGTAAATTATCATAGATATTTAAAACAATAATTTTTTATTGCCTTGACTTGTGAAATCACATTTTAATTCCCAGATAGATTTTCATTGCATAGTATGCTCTACATATGATATAATGCCTATTTAATGTTTTGTCGTCGTGTTAATATGTAAGATGTTACGATCTTTTAATTTCAAAAAAAACGTTCTTTCGCGTAGAAATATCTGCACAGTATCATTTCTGAATAATGTATTACAAGTGGCTTCAATTTCAGGCTTAATATGGAGTAATGTTCAAATTCTTGTTTCGAAACTTGCATGCATTGGTCTAATGCAATGTCACATGATGAATGAATAGATGTGTCTTTGTATTCATGCAGGGTATACATCGTTTCTACGTACCATTTCTGAACATAAGATCGCATGATGAGTATGCATAAGCTCGCGAAAATGCGAAATAAAATAAGTAAGATTTGTTTTTTTTTTCAAAATTGTGCATGGTTTTCTTGTTTGACAATAGGTATTTTTCTGTATGTGACCATTTTTATATCTTTTTTTTTTTTCTTTGTTATCTTTCTTGTGTACAACCTCAATTATCTGTTATTAAGATCTTCGGCCAGTTTGAGTAGATCTAGTCTGTTTAATAATTTTGCCTCACAATTAAATTTTTTTTTTTTTTTTACGTAAGTTTATCTCAGATAAAAAGTCCGTTCGTAGATTAGTACATTGTATATTATATGCACAAGATTCTTCTTAAAGTAAGAAATATTATAATATGAATAGGAACAATAGAAAAATTTAGGTATTCCGTCAAAAACAAGACTTAACCAAATCTTGTCGAAAAACATCACTGTATTAATACAATTTTAGAATATCTGTGTTTACTGTTGTAAGATCACGTTTAGCGTAACAACTTCATCAAAGTGAATATCTTTTAAACTTTCTATACAAACTAGCTTTGACTATTAAAAAGTTTTCAGTGAAAAAATTCGGTATATTTTGTAGCCTCACCGTTTCATACTCACAGTGATTATAGAAAAAATCTTTAGTAAATTCGGAACAGGTTGTAAAATTCAGAAACCGAATTAAATTACAGCTGTTCTCATAAATTCTGGGACACCTAAAAATTTATTTGTTTCCCGAAATCTCTTCGGTTTCGTTCTGTGAATTATCTAACTCTTTGGAAACTACGTCGCTATCTTCGGAACTTTGGTCCGGAGACAGCGACGTAGTTTCCGAAGAGTTAGATAATTCACAGAACGAAACTGAAGAGATTTCGGGAAACAAATAAATTTTTAGGTGTCCCAGAATTTATGAGAACAGCTGTAAGTATCCATAAATTTTTTACCTATTCACTGATTAAATGCAATTAAAAAAAATTTTCAAGTTTATTACAGCTGTTCTCATAAATTCTGGGACACCTAAAAATTTATTCGTTTCCCGAAATCTCTTCGGTTTCGTTCTGTGAATTATCTAACTC